TACAGTTCAGTCCAGTGAGGTTGCGGTGGAAAAGAAACGCACCATTCAGCAAAGCACACCCCCTCTACCCTCTGATTTGTTATGTGAAATTAAAGAAATGCGTTCTGACATGGTACTGCTGAAGGACCTGAAAGCCGAGATTTCCCAGATTATGGAAACTATACAAAAGACCACCTCCCCACAGTATCCCCTACCAAGCACAGAACCACAACAACCACCTGCCCCATGTCCAATGTTTTCATCCACACAATCCTCTCCTTATAGGACTGAATCCAATGTCATGCCGTACTACCACCAGCAACAAACAACAGCGATGCGGGAGTATCGACCAGCAGTTGGCCCAGGACGGATGGGGGAGACAGCCCAGTTCCAACAGCGATTTGCACCACAACGATATTATCCAGTATCCCACCCTCAGCCTAGGTGCTTTGCATGTATCCAAGCTGGTGAAGAATACTGTCAGCATTGTTTTAGGTGTGGGAGCACTGAGCATTTCAGGGCGGGCTGTAGAGCAGAAAGGCGGGCAAGAACTGGGGACCGGAGTCATTTAAACTAGGAAGGGTTGCTCCCAAGGGACACGGGGTAACCAAGTGTATAAATAAGTCCCAGTCTTGTGCAAGTTGTAAGAAAAAGAAGGAAAGACAGGAATTAAAATGTTGTTCAGTGTGTAAAACTACATTATACTGCTCGGAAGAATGCCAGGGAGCCCACTGGCCTGTGCACCAAAGGGATTGTGGGCCGCAAGCTTGTTCAGGTGTTAGGGAACAAGTTATACAGTCACGGGGAAAACCTGGGAGAAAGAACGGTTTTGTTGCAGGGAAAATAAATACAGTAAGGGAGTTAGTAGGAAAGAAGTGTCTTATCCGATGTCTCCTACACGAACAAAATACACAGGCACTTTGGGACACAGGGTCACAAGTTTGTGCTATAGATGAGGTTTGGAAAAACAACCACTTACCAGACGTGCCGCTGCGAGAGATAACAGAGCTAATTGATCCACACGACCCCTTGCAACTTGAAGCAGCC